CTGAAAAGAAGAATTCTGATGGTTAAGTCACTTAAACATGACTATGAGTCATTAATTCGATATCACAATTTAACGTCTTCCTTTTTACAATACAAAAATTGATGGTATCTAATGAAAAAGATAATAAAGATAAATATAGATGAGTCTAAACTCATTCGAAGTGTAACTTTGAGGATAATTACATTATATAAAAAGAGTAATTTTTCATTTAGGATTTAAAGTAAAAGTAGAATTTCTCATAATGTTATGCGTAGACCTAAAATGAATTATGTGATTTTATATTATAAGAGATATTATTTAGAAACATAGATAGGTAATCTAAGAAATAAATTAAGTACATGCAAAATTTATTATGATGTAAATTAATTGATGGTGAATTGCCCCATTTTTTGATTAGTTCAAACGAACCAAGTTGTAAAAGACACGAGAGTAAGGTCAAAAAACCATGTGCATTAGCTTACATGCAAAGCATGAGCAACCTGCGCTTGAGGTAGAGTTTAACCAACCCTTTTCTTCTTTCTCTTTTTGTCTTTTTTTTCTCTAATTTGTCTTATTTGTTTTCCAATATTTAAAATCAGATGTCGCACATTGATTCATAATTTAATAACTCTACTTTTGATTAATAATTATATGATATAGAAATAGTAGACTTTTACCTAGGATTTAAAATAAAAGTAGAATTCCTTATAGATTTACATGCAAACCTTTTATGAATTATATGATTTTATATCACAAGAGACATTATTCGAAAAAATATGTATACGTAATATAGGAAAGAAATTAAGTAAATGTGAAGTTTATTATGGTGTAAATTAATTGATGGTGAATTGCCCCATGTTTTGATCAATTACATCGAAATAAGTGTTGTAAAGATATGTGAGTAAGGCCAATGGAGCCATGTGCATTAGCTTACATGCAGAGCACGAGCAGCCCGAGATTGAGCTAGAGTCTAGCCAACCCTTTTCTTCTTTCTCCTTTTTCCTTTTTTTTTTCTCTAATTTGTCTTGTTTGCATTTCAACATTTAAAACCAGATGCCGCAAGTCGATTTATGACTTAACAACTCCAATTTTAAAGAATAATTACATGATATAGAAAGAGTAATTTTTCACTCACGATTTGAAATAAAAGTAGAATTTATTGTAGAGTTATGTGTAAACCTTATGTGAATTATATGATTTTATATCACAAAAAATATTATTCAAAAAATATGCATGGCTAATATAGGAAAGAAATTAAGTAAATGTGAAGTTTACTACGGTGTAAATTAAATGATGGTAAATTGTCTCATGTTTTGATCGGTTACAATGAAATAAGTGTTGTAAAAGACACGCGAGTAAGGCCAATGGAGCCATGTGCATTAGCTTACATGTAGAGCACGAATAGCCCGAGATTAAGGTAAAGTCTAGCCAACCCTTTTCTTCTTTCTCCTTTTGCCTTTCTTTTCTCTAATTTGTCTTATTATTTCTACATTTGAAACCAAATACAGCAAATTGATTCATTACTTAACAACTCTAGTTTTGACGAATAATTACATGATACAGAAAATATAAGTTTTTACTCAGAATTTAAAATAAAAATTGAATTCCTTGTTGAGTTGTGTGTAAATCTTCTGTGAATTATATGATTTATATCACAAGAGATATTATTCGAAAAATATAAATGACTAATATAGGAAAGAAATTAAGTAAATATGAAGTTTATTATGGTGTAAATTAATTGATGATGAAGTGCCCCATGTTTGGATTAGTTACAGCGAAGCAAGTGTTGTAAAAGACACACGAGTAAGACTAATGGAGCCGTGTGCATTAGCTTACATGAAGAGCACGAGTAGCCTGAGATTGAGCTAAAGTCTAGCCAACCCTTTTCTTCTTTCTCCTTTTGCCTTTCTTTTTTCTTTAATTTGTCTTGTTCATATTTCAACATTTGAAACCGAATGCTGCAAATTAATTCATGACCTAACTATTCTAGTTTTGAGGAATAATTACAAGATATAAAAATAGTAATTTTTCATTTAAGACTTAAAATAAAAGTAGAATTTCTCGTAAAGTTATGTATAAATCTTATGTAAATTATATGATTTTATGTCGCAAGAGATATTATTTGAAAAAATTATAGGAAATAGATTAAGTAAATACTAAGTTTATTATGATGTAAATTAATTGATGGTGAATTGCCTCATGTTTTGATCAGTTATAGCGATACAAATATTGCGAAAGACACGCGAGTAAGGCCAATGGAGCCATGTACATTAGCTTACATGTAGAGCACGAGCAACCTAAGCTTGAGGTAGAGTTTAGCCAACCATTTTCTTCTTTCTCCTTTGCATTTCTTTTCCAAATTTGTCTTGTTTGTATTTTAGTATTTGAAACTAGACGCCGCAAATTGATTCATAATTAGCTACTTTTAATTAAATTTTAAGAAAAAAGAAAAAAAAAAATCTCTCTTCAAAGTAATAAAGATGATATAATTAATGCATTAATTGGAATGTTATAGTTTCAAACAGTCAAACACTACTTATGTGCTTGCGTTTTCCTTTTAATGTTTTCAAAGAAAATTTAATCCCCTTATTCATTTTTCTCATATGCAAAAAAAAAAAAAAGAACTTTAAAGCACTATAACTAACTTCTTTGTTATTTTAAAAATGACTACTACCGCTGGTTTTCCTGGGAGGGGTAAAATTGATAAACAACAAAAATAATCAAAGGGAAGAAAGAAAACAGTGGCCTGCTCATGGCTGGTTTGGGTATTACATATGATGCATTGCCAGCTTACCATGTTTGGCATATGGAGGGGCTGCCCGCTGCCACCATTTTATTTTGTAATTTTTGAAAGAGAAAACAGAGAGAAAAAGAGAGGCATCAACGTTCCTTTTAGGCTTCCAAAGAAAAGGACGAAGCACCCGCATGCCATCTCTCTACACTTGTTCATCACCATCATACCATACCCTAACGTAGATACAGGCAGAAATTAAGGTTCAAGTTATATATATATATGTGTGTGTGTGTGTGTCTGTGTAGGCATAACTGGAGTACTCAGACTACCAGTTGAAGAAGTAAGAGAACGTTCTTGGTCTCGTAAATCGTGATTTTTATGTGTGGGCAAGAGTTTCATCTTATATTCCCCTTGCTCATACCCAGAGGAAAAACTACTGTTTGTTCAAGAGGAAAAGAAAAAAGAGATCAAAGAAAAACTTAAGTTGATTAAAATGACTGATCAGACACTCGAAGCTCCTCTTTTGTGTCCACAAGGAGATCATATTAACGCCAACGAGGAAGATTCTCTCTGCTGCAGAAGTCAGGCATGGCGACAGTCATTTTCACTGGTTAGTCCATCCAAATCTCGTTTGTTCTTGCGTGTTTTTTTTTCAAGTCTTGTATATGTATGATGTGTGATGTTAATATGTTAGGACGTTAATTATTTTCTTTCTTTTCTCTGTATATACATATATTATTAATATTGCAGGTCGTTGAAGAGATGAAAGCGCTTTACATGATAGCTCTCCCCATGATCATCACTGGCCTACTGGTGTATGGAAAATCTGCAATATCGATGCTGTTCATGGGGAAATTGGGGAAGGAAGCACTAGCAGGAGGTTCTCTTGCAATCAGTCTCGCCAACATTACAGGCTACTCTGTCATCTCTGGTCTCGCCATGGGCAGTGAACCAATCTCCTCTCAAGCCTGCGGAGCCCGTCAATGGCCGCTCATGCTTCAAACTCTGCAACGCACTATTGTCATTCTCACCATTGTCTGCATACCCATTTCAGTCTTATGGCTTAAATCCGAACCTTTTCTTCTCCTTTTACATCAAGATCCTGCTATCTCATCAATTGCCTCTACTTACCTGGCTTTCTCTCTCCCAGATCTTCTCTTTCAATCCTTCATCAACCCCCTCAGAATCTACCTCACCACTCAAAACATAACCCTTCCCCTCATGGTCGCTGCGGCTTTTGCACTTGCCCTTCATGCCCCAATCAACTACGTTATAGTTTATCGTCTTGACCTTGGCGTTCAAGGCATTGCCTTGGCAACCGCCCTGACAGATTTCAATCTTCTCATTGCCATTTTGATTTACCTTTGCTTTTCAGGTGTTTGTGGTAAGTCATGGCAGGGATTATTTTGTCTTGGATGCTACAGTG